GGAATCCCAATTGGTAATCAGGTGCAGTATTTCTATACTGAACTCTCACCACTGTCAAAATCTCAGGTGGATTCCTCTATGGATGGATCAATAATTGGAAAATTAGTACAACAAACATTGGATCTATTTGAGCTTATTGCCACTACACACTCAATGTTTTCATCAAAAAGAGTAGTACCATTGAGAGCTTCTAGGATGTATGAAAACTGTGGAGCTAATCATTCAACAGAAAATTGTACGTCTATGGGCTATCCCGAGGAACATGTCAACTTCATTCAGAATGACTCCCAAAATTTTAACCCTTATTCACAAACATATAACCCAGGATGGAGACAACACCCAAACTTCAGATGGTCTGATAATCAGCTCGTGAATGTTCCAGCTAATGTCTAGCAGGAGAAAAAACCAAGTCTGTGATAGATGTTCAACCAATATATGTAAAAGACAGACAAGGTGTTCCAGCAAATCGATACAAAATCTCAAAATCAACAGGCATCGATCAAGAAGTTGGAAACATATATCGGTCAGATAGCTCAACAACTTGCAAAACGCCCACAACGGACTTTGCCGGGCAATACAATGATAAATCCAAAGAAGCAAGTGCAAGCTATTATAACTAGGAATGGAGTACAACTATCTGAGATACATGTAAAAAGGCTAGACAGATGAGAAAAATGGCAAAAGTTGAAAGGGCACCTGAAGACGAGAAATCTGTAATAAGTGAAAATAAAAATGAAGAGAAAGAAGAACCATTTCCAGTTAGAGCACCAAGTCCCATCAAGGCCTATATGCCATCAATTCTCTTCCCTTAGCAGCTGTAGAAAAGGAAGTTAGATAAGCACTTTGCAAAGTTTGTGGAGATCTTCAAGAAACTACATATAAACATCCCGTTTGCAGATGCAATTGCACAGATGCCTAGTTACGCTAAATTTCTGAAAGAAATCCTTGCCAACAAGAGAAAGCTGGAAGAGCATAGGACTGTATGCTTGAATGATGAATGCAGTTCAATTCTCCTAAAAAAGTTGCCACCTAAATTAAAAGATCCCGAGAGTTTTAATATACCCTGCACCATTGGTTCTAATTATTTCAAACATTCTTTATGTGATTTAGGTGCTAGTGTTAATTTGATACCTCTCTATTTACAGGTCTCTTGGATTGGGGGAAGCGAAACCTACAACAATCTCATTGCAACTTGCTAATCGTTCTATCAAAAGCTTAAAGGGGACCGTTGAAGATGTGTTTGTCAAAGTTGATAAATTCATTTTCCCAGTAGATTTCATTATCTTGGACATGGAAGAGGATTCAAACATTTCTCTAATTCTGGGAAGATCGTTCTTGACTACTGGGCGAGCTCTGATCGATGTCTATAATGGAAAAATGATTCTTAGAATGGACAATGAACAAGTTATTTTCAATAAGTTCAAGGCAATGAAACACCCATTGACCTCGAATACTTGTTGCCAAGTAGGTGTTCTTGATGAGCTGGTGGTCGATACATTTAATGCAACATATCCAGAAATTTTACGCGAAGCAGACAGCGTACAATTGGAGGGAGCAAAGTTAGATAGTGCAGAATGTATTATAAGTTTGGATGAACAACTAAATGGAAAAGAGACATTGTTAATACGAGTCTCTTGGTTCCAATCCTACACCATCAGTACCTTCCGTGGAGAAAGCACCAACTCTGGAGTTAAAACCCTTACTATCCTATCTCCATTATGCATATTTGGGGGGGACTTTACAAATGTACCAGTAATCATTGCTAATGACATGACAGAAGAAGAGGAAAATACGTTATAGGGAATACATTGGGAGCACAAGATTACAATTGGATGGACTATAGTTGATATTCGAGGAATCGGCCCTACTCTCTGTATGCACAAAATCTTGATGGAGGCTGAGTCTAAACCATCCATGGAAACAGAAGAGAACCTTGGTGCAAGGGTTTATTCTTTTCCATATCTTTATTCAATTAATCCGGTAATGTACTCAAAGATATTTATTTATTTTTCCTTTTACACTATCATTATGAGTAACTAAACATTAAAGTATGGCAAATAATGTAGTCTTTTGTGATAATTGATTCTTTTATTCAAGATTTCTGAAGTGTTATTTCTTATGAGTTGATTCTGTTATGAGCTTAATGCTTTTAATTATCTGACCAATAATTTGATGAATTCTTGAATTTCTTACGTATCAAGAGGCGAGTTTGAAACTTAGACCGTATAATAAAATTCGGTAAGTAGTAGTATAACGTATAGAGATACATATACTAATTATTGTGGTTGTAATAGGAATTCTTAGAACCATATTTTGTTTAGCTAAAGGTAATTCTCATAGAGATATGGAATTGAATTAATTAAATAGACTCAATGAGAACTCAAGATGGGTAAATTGAATTCAATTGAAGAATTCGACCAAGCACTACATTAGGTTAGAATCTTGAATTAAGAATTNATTCAATTGAAGAATTCGACCAAGCACTACATTAGGTTAGAATCTTGAATTAAGAATTAAGGTGATCGTTAGATGAACTTGTTTTGCCCTAATATTCATTACGTATTTGAATCTTCTATAATTTAGTGTCGGCAATCCTTTTATAATTTCCATTAGTTTTAAGTTTTCGGAGTTCACAAAAGAAAAAACAATTTTCATAACTATTACCATTTTTCTTACTTGTCTTTTATCAAATAGGAGTTTGGAACAAGTAGATTAAGTCTAAAATATAGTCCTCATGGGAACGATAATCCAGACTCAAAGGTCCACTGTATTACTTGTTACGATATCATACACCTGCGATAGAAAAAAAGGCAACACCTGCCAATTCCTGTTTTGGTTGTATTGCATCTCTTTCTCTCTGTGTGTTCCTTTACGCAAGCAAATTGCACTTTGTTTCTTTCTTTCGATATTTGGTAGTGTAGCTCTTGTTTTCCAAGATCATTCTTTCTTCTTCATTGTCGTTAAACAAGTGCCATTCCATTTTGGGACTGTATCCAATATTTGAAGTTGAGAGCGCTTCAACAACAAGCTGTACACATTACTTCTATGAAGCAACCGTTGGAGCTGGTTTACCAATCATTAGAAATTTACAAGGTCTCCAAGAAACTAGGGACAAAATATTACTACGAGAGTTATGTTTCTCAAAACACATTTAAAATGGTGCTATTTGTGTTAATTGCCTTAGCTGCTTATTTAGCTTGAGCTGCTTGAGTGGCATCCATTTATTGGTAGCTGAGCCTTTCACATGGATTGTGATAGTTTAAACTGATGATGGCCTTTTGATGGAATCAATGGCTGAGAGTTATTCTTGAGATAATATTGTCTGTTGAGTTACTGTTGAATGATTCACTTTACTCTTCTTTTAGACTCTTCGTTTCTCTCCCTCCCTTTGGCTCCTTCATGTTTGAGTCAGTATTTTCTTCGTTTTGTGAGGTTCTTTGTAATTATCTAGTTGTTAGGAGGTGAATGTTTGGTGTTAATCAGACCTGAAAGAGTGGCTGATTTCGTATAGTTTTTCTCCTATGTGTTGGGTTAGATCTGTGTATATTTTCACTCTCTGTTTTTGCGAGATCTTATGATCGATGACCAAAATTTTGGAATTGAGTGGTTTGATGTAATCTCTCTATCTCTCTCTCTCTCTTGGAATGTGGTTTTTGTGCTAGTAGATGGGATGTTCCCGAGCCACCCAGATTAGGTCATTTTGGCTAAATTGGGTCAACATATCTTGTGTTCTTGTTCTTTTCTTTACTGTTGTTGTACATTTATGCTTTATAGTTCATATTGAGAAGTAGTTTCAGACATAAATTTCCAACAAAATTGGTATCAAAGCTGGCTTAGGGTTTCGGTTGTGTTTTTCATTTTGCATAACAATCTTTTTCTTGGGTATTTCGATTATACATTTGTTTAGACCTTCAAAGGTCTGAATGGATGGTATTATTTTTGGCATCTTGAATCTGATCGATACTGAGTGTTTAACTTTTGTTTGGTGTGGGTTGTTGGTTGATCGTTTGCTCTAACTGTTTGGCTCAGTTGAGTGCTTTGGGTTAATAGTACTGTTTTTTAACAGTATTGGTAAGATCTTTCCAAACCTCTTTAAATTTCCAATTTAGTGTTTTTTCCTGTAAATGATATATGAATAATAAGTTGTATGTTTTTGAATTCTTGTGACTAATTTGAAATTCTGAAATACATATATCTGCATCATATATCTGTAAACTGTGTGAGCTTCTTTCATACCTTCATATATACTTGACTGGGGTTCTTGGTTGAATTGTTTTTATATACTGTCAGATATTTGTCTTACTATTCTTCAAATTTCTGAACACATTTGACTCTGTGTTTTCATTAAATTGATTATCTGAAAATTGTTTTTCAAAACATTTTCTGCTATGTCCACGAGTACAACTAGAATGCTTCCTCATACTCTTATGTGGCTTATCCACGTCACAATTCATTCTTCAACCAAAAATTACTGCAACATAAAATTTGTCGATGGTCTATAGAACTGTTGGTGTGTGCTATTGATTTTCGAATTCTAGAGAGGATTTTAGATGATGGAGATAATGAAATGAATATGAAGAGTGAAGAGTTATGATTTAGGGAATTTCGACTAATCTATTAAATGAAAGGGACGTGTTTGGAGGAACCACATTAGCACCCAATCGATTAACGTGTATGAGTGAAGTGATTTCCTCATTTTTTATTTTTTTATAATTTAACAGTAATTCTTAGAAAATTAATTACAAAGTAATTCTTGAAAATTTATCAAAAGCTGCGTGGTTTATGGCCCAACTTGAGAGCCCAATATTCCTGAATCAGAAAGGGTACTTTTGGGAATTCGACTACTTCTTCCTCTAGGGTTTCTTCCCTATTTGTTTTCTTTTTCTTCTTTTACTACACAACGGTTTATCCTTGCGGCTTGAGAACTCAACGCCCCCTATCCAACGGGCCCAACCAACACGCCCACAGAGAGATCACGGAATCATAGTGAAGAAGCAAAGATGGCGAGTGAAGGAATAATTATCGATCAGCAGCAGGAAGATAAGATTCACAGCGATGTCCTGCTCTTCAACCGCTGGAGATATGACGAGGTTCAGGTACGATTTTAACCACTCCCATACAAATAATGCTGATGCACTTTCAGCGTTTTAAGTAAATTTATATTTTCCATTGTTCTTGTTAATAATTGGAGATTTTCTAGTGATTGTTTTTGCATCTTAATATTTGGAAAGATTAACCAATTTTGAAGGTCATTTAGATTTAGAATGCCATGGAATAGCGGAATCAATGACAAATAAATTGTAACATAAATTTTCGGGATAACCAGCACATATTAAAATCTGAAGAAGCGTTCAGCAGTTTCAATATTATTAAACATTTTTTGTATGCTGTTATTTTTTTTATCCCTTTTCTCATAATAATATTTATAATAGTTGAAATTATAAACAATGTCTTTACCTTTTTCATGATGTTATTTATGAAATTTAAAAATGAGCAGTGGAATGTAATAACACGGAAATCCCTCGTTATCGGAAACTGGTCCTGTAGCTTTGAATGAATTTTTCTGTCATTTTAATTCTTGACAATAATTTGTATGGAACTAATGGAAGTTTTTCGTAGACTTCACTTTCATTTTAAAATTTTGTAGATTTTTATAGAATTCAAACGAGTTTTTGAAGACTTTCATTTAAAATAGAATTCATGTGTGTAGATAAATTTCTTATATACGAGGTGGTAGTTCTCACAGTTTCATTTCACCTCCCCATAATAAAAAATAATTTTAAAAGAATAAAAAGAAAAATAAAAAGTAGTATATATGTTAAAGTACTCTTTCATAAAAAATTTAATATTCAGTATTATAATTATGACATACCGTTAAGAATAAATAAGAAATCAATATATTTAAATTTATAATTATAAATTATGAGCTTGTTTGGTAGAGATTAAAATTGAAAAATTAGTCGTTATTGTTGACTTTTATTAAACGAGTGAGACCCAATAATTGTTATATTTTCAATTTTAATTGGATTAAAATCCATCTCAAACAAGCTCTATTACTTTTTATATAAAATCTCATAGTTTTTAATTACAAATAGATATTTTTCATAAAATATGATGAAAAAAGAAAAAAAGTAATAAGATATATAGTTACAATTTATTTTTTTCATTGAAAATAGAGATAAATAAAGAAAATAGAAATAAAAATAATCAATAGAAAAAAAAAATTATTTGTGCACTTTTTTTTAGTGATGATGACTTCTGTATATTTTGTAGACGTTTTATAGATTTGTATGAAATTAATTGAAGTTTTATTTTAAAACTTTTATAGACTTTTCTAGAATTCAAGAGACTCTTCAAGACTTTCATTAAAAATAGAATTCACGTGGGTCTCGAATAATCNATTGAAGTTTTATTTTAAAACTTTTATAGACTATTCTAGAATTCAAGACTCTTCAAGACTTTCATTAAAAATCGAATTCACGTGGGTCTCGAATAATCATGTGAAATACTTGTATATAAAGTTGTGGTTCCTACAATTCCCTCTCACCTCCCCATATAATAAAAATATTTTTAAAAGAATAAAAATTTAAGTCATCTTATTAAATAATTAATAAACATTATTCTTTAAAAGATAATAAACATTATTTTTAAAAAAATAATAAACATTATTCTTTAGCCCTTGTTTGGTATTATTTTCAAAATACATTTTTCTCTTTTATTTTCAACGACGCATTAATAAAATAATATTACATGTAAACTTAAATATTTTCTTTATTTTTTAATTACATATTCTCCATCAAAATAATATTCTAAAATGTATTTTCATAAAAAAAAAAGAGGCTTTAATTACAAATTGATATTTTTCAAAAAAAAATGATAAAAAAGAACAAAAATGTTATAAGAATCTTTAGTTACAATTTAATTTTTTCATAAAAAATAGAAATAAAAAATAAAAGAGAGAGAAAGAGAAAAAGAAAAATATAAACAAATATAATCAGTAAAATAATTTTTAATTATAACTCTATTGTTCGTAGAAAAGATAAATATTGAAAGAAACAAAAAAATATATATGAATTTTTTTTGTGAAAAGTCTCCGAAAATCTTGGTACGAATGAGATACAAATTTGAAATTTTATTTTAGTACTTTCTGCTTAAAAGGTAGTATTCTAGAGACAAATTGTTTAAAACTCATTAATAATTTGAATACCCCAAGACGTGGAGACTTCTTAAAAGTTTTAATTGAATGCAACGTGACTTTTTAAAAGTCCGTGAAAGTCCCAATTAAATGAATCAAACTTTTAGAGAGTCAAGAAATCTACATTGAATACATCTAAACTATTTAAATTCCAAAAAATCTTTAAAAAGTCCCAATTGTATACACCCCCTTAGAGTGGTATAGAAATATTGCAACAAAATGCTTCTTAAACCGTTGGTGAATGATGTAGAAATAATATATTGGATCTTATGTGTAAACATGGGTAGATTTGACTTTTGATGTGATATGGCGACTTGTAGATAAAAGTTTTATATGAACTAAAACAGTATTTGATTGTATGATAGGGGTTTAGTTTAAAGCCATTAATGAGTATCATTTCATATTATTGTTTTCTTATACAGATTAGTGACATTTCTGTTGAGGATTACATCACTGCTACTGCTGCAAAGCACCCTACCTACATGCCTCATACTGCTGGGAGGTACCAGCAGAAGCGGTTTAGAAAAGCACAGTGCCCGATTGTGGAGAGACTGACTAACTCACTGATGATGCACGGACGTAACAACGGAAAGAAGCTGATGGCTGTGCGCATAATCAAACACGCAATGGAGATCATCCACTTGCTAACAGACCAGAACCCAATTCAAGTCATTGTTGATGCTGTAATCAACAGGTACAGTGAAATAGCTCTTTGTTAACGTTCTCTCTAGCTAGTTTTATCCCTGTTGCTAGGTGAAATATTAAACTTCTTCAAATATTTGTTGCTTTATCCTGCATGATAGCTATTTCATAACCAGTATTTCAGTTATTAAAACAAAAATGAGTTAAAACTTGAATACATCATTAAAACACATTTAGAAGTGAATTTTTTTGAGCCTGCTCTGATACTAAATTATGTATACTTCAGAGATTTATCAGAATGATAAATCATTGTCATATCCACAGATTCTATGTTCTAAGCACGACACTTTATTAATTGCTCATTTATGTATTTGTTCTAGTGGACCAAGAGAAGATGCAACAAGGATTGGTTCTGCTGGTGTTGTGAGACGTCAAGCAGTTGATATTTCACCTTTAAGGCGTGTTAACCAGGCTGTCTATCTCCTCACTACTGGTGCTAGGGAGAGTGCTTTTAGGAATATTAAAACCATAGCTGAATGCCTTGCTGATGAACTCATAAATGCAGCCAAGGGGTCTTCAAACAGGTGAGAATGGGCGAGCCATTTTTCTATATTGACATGCCTTGAGATCTTATTTGTTCCTTCCTTTTCTCTAGCGCCATTTGTTTTTGATAGAGTTAGCAGAATCTTTACTCACTTCCGTTTTAATTTACATGCAGCTATGCTATTAAGAAGAAGGATGAGATTGAAAGGGTGGCAAAGGCCAATCGTTGAGAGAGCTGTATGGGTGATTGGAGAGTTATATAATAGAGTTATTGCTTTGTACTTGTTAGCTCAACCTGTTCTTGGTGGCTTTGAGTTCTGGTCATCTGGCGAAACCTTAATTTCATTTGTTTGGAATTGGCATAAGCATAATGCTGAGCCAGACACTTTTTTTTTTTTTTTGGTTTAGCTGAGTTTACTTTGTTTTTGTATTCCCTTTATGTTTCACCTTTTTTCATTTAGTGGATCCTGGTCCTCGTTGCATCACTTCTCTTTACACGCATGTGCGAAAAGCTAGTGGTTTCGTTGTTGAATCACATGCAGCAGGGTAGCTGGACTGGAGATAGGCAGTTTGATTATTGGACTTCAAATGTTACTGATATCAAGTTTTGATTGAATGCAAATATATTTTTTAGCACAGTTTTAAGAGTGATAATCTCACGTCTGCTCCTATACTCTTTAAACCGATTATATTTCTGAAATTTGAAGAATTTTGTGCTATATAATGGCAGGAGATTTGCTATGGTTTATCTCCTATGGATAGTGGACATTATAAGGTATAAGGTTTCACTGATGCATTCACTACGACCCGTCCACTGGTTTGCCAGAGATAAGGGAGTGCGACGTACGTTGGATAAACATTACCCCAAAAGTTTGTCCTGATACTATACAGAAATTTTAAACGAAGCCAAGCCTTAAAATATGAAACTATTAAGGTGTGAAACTTGGAAACAAAAGAGGAAATTTTATCAACGAAGCCAAGTTGAAAGAACTGTTGAAATAGCTCACAGGGCATCTACTTTTAGACCATACCATTAAAATGGGAAACACACTGGAGTCCGTAGATTCCTCATAGTAGAAAGAATGTACCAAACTCGCTGTGTTTACTAAATGATCCACTGCAAGTGGCAAAAAGAAAGGGAACAAGAAAAATTGATAACTGACGTTATATACATTCAAGTCTGAGAGACAACTACACAATTGTATTGTAAGGTTATACCAGCCTGAAGAAATGAGAAAGAAACAATGATACAAGTACATGTAAGATCTCATGACACAAGTACAGGTGAAAGTGGCATAAAAATTTAGGGTCGGTTCTCTTTACCGTTTTCAAGTCGTTTTCTGTTTTCGATTTTCCAAAACAGTGAAAACACGTTTTCTTTCCTATTTTCGAAAATGTGTTTTTGAAAACAAAAAAAATTCTTGTACTGAAAACAACAAATGACATTTTTAACGTTTTCTGTGCAAAACACCCCAAAATTAGAAAACACGGGAAACGCTCAAAAAAAGCCCAAAATTGGAAAACACGAGAACGCTTAGAACCATCTCTTCCTCCTTTCTTCTTCCAATCCCGTATCTTCCTTCTGTCTTCTCGACGCCGGCGACCCATTGCAACCGACGACAAAGGAGATGCACCATTGGGCCCATCTCTGCCTTCTCTCTCTTCGACGCCGGCTACCCATTGAAGAGGCGAACACGGTGATTTTTAACAAAATTTTAACAATAATTGATCAATTGAAGTTTTGAATGATTTATATTTATTTGATTCACTAGGTGTGGGGAAAATGCTTATATAGTTCCCGATTTATTTGATAATTGACAATTTATTCTTCACCAATTATCCTATTTGCACCTCCTGCTGTTCCCTTATAGTTCCCGATTTAATTATGTAGCCACATTTAAGGAATGTAATAGATGGTGTCAAAAGTGAAATTGATTCACTTGCTAAAATTGAAAATGCTTCAAGTTCCAGAAATTATTCGTGATGTTATCTTTGTGCCACGAATCTTGTGCATCCTATGTTGTCCTGCGCATATAGTAGGGCATTGGTTGTCATTTAGTCGATTGCAATTTTCATTGGAAATTATTTTCATTAATTCAGTTTGGACAAGGAAAACAAGATATACATTTTTTTGTATAACTAGTTGTATGGCCATGCAATGCATGGCTTGAATGTTGTTGGAGGTAATATTAGCGTATTAAGTATTAAAGGTTCACGAGAGAGATGTACATAGAAGGAGTTTTTGGGAAGCGAAGGAAGTATTTAACATACAAAATTACCATCAACTGATAAAAAGAACGAATGCAGATTTATGAAAATTGTGATACCATGATCTTGAACTTGAAAATTGCAAGCGAATTCTATTTTACTCTTGCGTACAAATTTCAGTGCAAACATCGTCAGTAAATATGAATGGAAATGAACAAATTTACTATCTTAATCATAACACAATAAGTTCAATAAAGAAACAAAAAGTAATGCACGTGGATGGATCGACACCTCGAAAATAGGCATTCGTTTACCACTTTTTTTTAACTCAGATCTTTTACAAGATTAAAAGCCACCCCTTATAGTTTTAGTGGAAGGTGTATGAAAATCAGGGAAGGGTTTCGAAGTGAGTAGCAGCGTTCAAAATGAATGAAAAGGTAGTACAAAAGGTATACATAGAGAAGATATTTTGCATATGAGTAGTATGTATCTAGTTTGTGAACACTCAAGTCTGAATGCTTATGCCCAAAAATGAACAGTGCAACTCCATCCACTCTTTTAAAAGGAAAGTAGGATTCTTGAAATACTACCTATTGGTGGGGGATGGATGTGTTTTTATCTATTCAGTATTACTCCTGAAACAACTATTATACCTCAGCCTTAATTCCTGTACCTGTGTCATTGTCTATGGATGAACAAGCTCAAGATTTTCGGAATATCCATGAATGAATTAGAATTTCAAGTTAATTTAATGCATTTCAAATTCAATTTTCTTCCTTTTTGTATTCCTGCTTGACTACAAAATGCAACTAATAGAAGTCTATTTCTTCTTTGATTTTAACATCTGAAAAAGGTAAAATTTGATTCAAAAATATCATAAATTAAACATTTCGTCACAATCAAAAGGACCAAAGAAAGCTAGCTAACTTTCTTGCAAGTATTATCATATTAAAAAAAATAGCAACCCCCTTCAGGAAAACTCTATAATTGAACAAAATACAATGCTTTAAAATTAAGAAAAAAGAAAGAAAATATCTCGAATGGAAACTCTTGATGTTGCTTTAATTTATGGCCAGGTAAAATCAAAATATTTCCACGATATCTCAATGATTCAAGCTTCCCGCTTATTTCTTCACTTCAACTCTACAACACACAAAGGTAAAACAAAATCCATGACACCCTCAGAAATAATGTGCAATATACATATAAAGTTCTAGAAAGCGAAGAAATAACATTTCTTAAGAGAAAGCAATGAAATAAATAAAAGGGAAGTGTAGGACTATAAAAAAATGGAGTAGCTCTTCGTCCCACCTACCATTGAAAATTGCCCCGAAATTTAATACCTGATACAATACATAGATAAACCATAAAATTAGCTACAAGGAATGGCTGAAATTAAGACATTTCACTAATTCCATTCATATTCCAGGCCACTGAATAACATACCATTTAAGAGAAGTCGGCTCGATGATATTGCTTGCACTTTCAAAGATTTAACTGAGTCTAGTGAAGGTAATACATCAGTTATGAAAATAAAAAATAATAAAGGTCATGATGAAGTATATTTTGCAAACTAATTACTACAAGAGTACATAGAAATATTGAATGATCATCTGTTCAATACTCAAATATCCATCTGATCAATCACCTGATGATGATCTGAAGAAGAAAAGCCTTTCAACCAACAGGAGACTCTGGCTCCAATGTGCTGCCCTGACCTCAACGAATCCAATGAACCATGTAAATTTGTACTTCGTCTCTTCTACTTGTTTTAGGCACCGTTATAGGAGAGGAGGTCGATTTATCCTTGGATACGACTGGAAGTGAGGTATTAGGACTTGCAGCAAAAGTAGTACTGACCAACGATACAACAACTGTTGGTGATGGGAACGCACAAGAGGTAGTGAACAGAAGAGTTTCCCAGATCAAAAACCTCGTCGATGTGCAAACAAAGTTACAAATTTGCGTTAAAATCAAACATTCTAAAATCTTGGTATGAGAAAACAAAGTTAAAATCTATATACCAAGAGAGGCATTGGGATCAATCAATATATATGTTGGAAGATAAATACCACCACTGCAAGTAAGCCTCTCAGACAACTTCAACAATCAATCTACAAATTCTGCCTATGAAACCACAATAAAATTTAACATTCATTAAGTGTGATGGACTTAATAATCAGGACATCCAAGTATTAACTCTCATATATTTTCAAATTATAAGGAACTTACGAATTTGCGTTAAGCAGGCCAATGGTGCAAATACAGCAAGGGTAGTGAAAAGAAAAAAAAAATCTTCCTTTCAACCAATGATGTCAAAACAAAGCCGGTGTTCAATCAAATGAACTAAAAATTATCAAAGGAATCTTTAGGGAACAATGAAGTGTATGTTCTAATGTTATGTGTTTGCTAGAAGTAAGTTGTCAACCCCAATAGAATGGAGTGTATATTCTAATGAATCGTTATTCAGCATTCATGTTATGAAATGCTTCTGTTTATGAAAGAGAAAGCAGGATAAAAACCAGTTGAATTGTATTGAAAATTGCTTATTGAATAATAAATTCGTTCATCCACATACCCATACATACAATGAAAAAGTATGATCTAGAATAAAAGAACTAATTGGCTGAAAAGAAAATGGTATGGAACAGAAATCTAACAGAAAAAGGAAATGCTGTACAGCTGAATTTTAACACCAAAAATAATCTTCAATGTGCCTCCTCTGCAGTTGAGGTTTCTACCTTCTACTATCATGCTTTATAGAAACTGCAGTACATTTATGCTCTCTCTCCCATCTAGCAACTGAAGAAAGCATAAATAAATGAAAGTAATTTAGACACAAGTTAAGCTCCAGGAATTGCAGTTTCACAAAAAATAACTACAGAATGGAAAGATTAGCCACCTTTTTGCAGTAATCTATTGCTCCTCACGCTGTAATGATTAGCCACCTTTTTTGGGAATATCTTAGTGCTCTCATCCTCCAAAAATTATTCATCCCTAACAACAATAAAATACACTCATCAATCCACAATGGACAAACTTCGACCTCTGCCCCCGAGCCAATATGAAGAATAAGGAGAATTTAAAAATTGGACTATAGAATTCCTATTATTTAAGCCTAGGGTTGAATCTCTGATACTATAAACTAAAATAAAATAAAAAAAGTATTGTTTTCACTTTTCCTAGATTTAATTTTACTCTCACCAATCCAAAGTTTTCTTAAAAATAGTTCCATACCTTTGATTCCATTTAACTTAAATTAAATAGCAAAACGAGAAATTAGGTATCTAATTTCTTTAGAAAATATAAAGGAAACGGTAAATTACCTTCAGCATTATATCTGGGTTTGGATTGAGGGGGTCCATGAGAACCCGATGGGGAAGATGGTTGACAACTCCATTTCAACTCGAGATCTGAATAGGCATAAGTAAATCAATCACAAGGTGAAGAAATCGAACAAAGAATACACAACAAGAACATCCAACGAACATACTTTCGTCATTTGAAGTTCAATTTCTCAAAAGATCGAACAAAAAATGAAAGAAATCGAAGATTCAACAATACAAGTAGTCAATAAATATAATAATCAATTGAAAATTCTACCAGCATTATCACTGATTGTAGAACAAAAAAAATACACAGAACGAAAATTAGGAGGAAGCAAGAAAGTACAGCTATGGGAAGATATTTAGGTCTGAAAATGAATTTTTTTTTTTTTATAATATATAAGACTTTCAAACCGACATAAATGAACTAAGGTGGAAGATATTTGGGGCTGAAAAGAAGTTTAATAATTAAAACCAAACGAACTGGATTGGTTACAGTGAGGGCAAGAAATTCAGCTATAGTGGTGTGAAAACACCTCCACTAGAATGAACAGTAAATGACGTATTCTTTCTTTTAAAGTAGTGTAGATGAAGCCTGACCCTGACGTCCCATTTATGTCCTGTACATCTCGTGACTCTATCAGTGGTAGAAGAGGTACAAAAATTACAACATTGATTTCACAAGTACATTTATTGACGTCGAGAAAATAATTAATAATCGTATGTTTTTAGTATAATGCAAGTAGGGCAGCATACCAATATATACTTTGATCCAGCCTCCATCTTTGCGTATTTATCGGGATGGTATTTGAACGCATGATCTACCATGAATGATTGATCATCTCCATATATAGGATGACCATGATTGTACCTTCAAAAAAAAACTGTGTTAGATTTTAGATTCGTTAGTTTGTCCTAATAATAAGAAATAAAAAGCCTGAAATGTTAGTAAACAAATTACTCAAAGGCGTTTCAGTATAATAATTTATATTTTTATTTTCCTTTTCTTTTAACCTTTTGAAGAGTAATATGATTGAAGAAATTGAATGAAGAGTTTCAGGTGGTTTCTGTCTATGTATTCAAACAGTTAACAGTGAAAATGCAAAAGGTAAATGGGAAAGCTTACTTGAATGCCTAATAGAAGAGTCACCTCCATTCCAAAACATACAAAGAAACCATGATTGCTTGCAAAACACTAAATTTTACTAAAATAGTTTATCTTCCAAATGCCAGTAAAAAGAGTGACATTCATGAAATTGCGAATAATGCCAGCTTCAAAACAATCTGGAAAATGTAATAAGATGGATTGGCCATTTATGCAGAAAATTAATAAGAGCATGGGCATATTTACTGAAATTCATTGCATTCCATAAGCACCATTAATCAAATGACCAAAGTGCAGACAAAAAGTACGGATGCAAATTGACTGTAGTATTTCTAAAAATTACAATCTATTGTGGTGGGAGAAAAAATTTGTTGAAGGTATGGACTATGGAGTGGATCACGTCAATACCAAAAATTCGGAATCCTATTGGTTCTCAAAAAGTACAGATGTAAGTTGGCTGTAGTATTTCTAAAAATTACAATCTATTGTGGTGGAAGCAAAAATTTGTTGAAGTGATTGACTATGGAGTGGATCACGTCAATACCAAAAATTCGGAATCCTATTGGTTCACTCCACAGTGAAAGAAAAGCAACAGGAAGAAAAATTCCCCCTCGAAAAATATTCTAACAGCAAATAACCACTTTCCACTAAAATTTTCGATATTAGATCTACAATTGAAAGGTAAATAAAAAAAATATTGGCAAGGTACCACAATTTTAGAAGATCCACTTGTAATCGATAAAGGGAGACTGACTAACAGATCGCATATTTCTAGAATTTGCTCAATCACGGGACCAATATCAATATCCAAAGGGTTGCCAGATAATTTAGATGTATTCCATAACTAATATATGCTGCAGATTTATAAAATCCCAATTCAAAGAGGCAAGAGAACTAAATTAAGTCCAACTCCAATCCTTAATCATCCATACTCAATCACAATTTAACTATCCCATTATATAATCAGAACAGAATAGTAATATACTTGCACAAAAATGGAGGATGGAGCCCGGAGGCTATGTGACTGTGTGTAATTTATAAACAAAATATAGTAAATACTTTGTATTTTGCAGTTGCTGGAGGAGGAGGACGGAGGTTGAGTCGGAGTGTCGGACCTTCCGGCTTCCAGTATCCGATGTGGCGTTGCTTCTTCAGTTCTGGACTGGAGACGGCGCAGGAAAGAGGTTAGGAACAAAATACAGTAAATACTTACGTTGAGTCGGAGTGTCCGACCTTCCGGCTTCCAGTTTTCGCTGCGGCGCTGCTTCTTCATCTGGAAAATTTCCCAAAGCCACGGCATGGGTCGGATCTTGCTTCTTAGATTTTGCCATTCCTCTTCATCTTAGGGTTTGCTTTGGTGTGATTATGGAGAAGGGAACGGGA